GAATGGTCCTTATCTGTTGGCTCGTTTACATCCCCAGAATCAGACCATACGTTTAGGCAGATGGGTAGACAATTATGAGACTATTCACTTGGAATGTTCGAACGGTTATCGTATACCAACTCATGCGAGTTTAAATTGTCAAAATGGCAAATGGACCAGAGGATTTCCGTCATGTGTTCGTAAGTTAAACGAAATCAAATTTTCTTGCTTCGTCTTCTCATCAAGCTTCTACTTTTAAGAATATTGCGACGGTCAATCGTTGCGAGGTTTATCCACATTTCACGTATGTATTAATAATGGTATTGCCGCCCGGCAGTGCCAACGGTTACAACCAAAAACTGCGGTAATTATCAGATGTAACGTCGGTTACGAAGGTTTAAGCGACAGCGCACCAATAATGCGATGCAATCTCGATGGTAAATTCACCGCTAAGCGGCCCACTTGCAATGTCGAGTGCGGAGTTCAACGAACAAGTGCACGATTTAGACGCGACTTGGGATTTACGATAGATCAAAGCGAGGCACCCTGGCAAGTGGCCATTTATCAAAAGCCAGATAACGTTAGCTACAGATTGATTTGTAGTGGATCCATTATCTCGCCGAGTATAATTGTAACCGGTATGTATGGAATAGATATTTAATCATTAATTTGAACAAAATTTTCATTGCATTATCAAACCGTCTGTGGCAGCTGCTCATTGTTTTTGGGACGTCGCGGTAGAACAGACGATAAGCGCTGAGTTCTTTCAGGTGGCCGCTGGAAAATATTATCGTGACTACGATATGGCTAAAGACCCAACAGCTCAAATTGCGGATGTTGCTGAAATTGTGATTTCGTCAAGGTACAATAGCAAAACTTTTGGGGTTGATAGATAGCAAGTTACAAGAGAAAGATGGGTAGAAAGAGAAATATTATAAGCCATAGAAACGAAGAGAAGAATTAATGAGTAGAAAGAAACAAAGAGAGACGGAGGAAAATAAATGCAGATATAAAGAGAAATAAGTTACGGAGAGAGATTGAGGGATAGAGAGAGCGAAAGAGAAAGAACTGATTCCGTCGTTTGCTTGCAGCGCAGAATAAATGAAGAAAACCGAGTATATAAACCAAGAGAAAGAAAAAGGGATAGAGTGTGTGGATGAATGGATGAATTAAGACAGAGAAAGCGCCAGTGAGGGAGAGGGTAGGAATAAAATGTAAACAGACAGCGAGAGGTAGATAGGAAGATAGATATTTTGATTGTTGCTATTTTGTTAAGCTTACACATCTCCTGATCGTAATTGTCCTAATAGGATCGTTTAATTCATTTTTGATTTTCTTTTCATTCCTTCTATTGTATTCCATTATTAAAGTTTCCAATACAACAAAAATGATTTCGTAGAAGATATCGCTGTTGTTAAGTTAAAGACACCTTTCATCTTCAACGAAAACGTATCAGCCGTGTGCTTCGATTTCGGTACTAGGGCCAGTCGATATGTTCCGAATAATTTGGTTGGTTCAATTGTGGGGTATGGTGATACTGGAGAGGTTTTAGAACTGCTTCCTATGAAAACGCTGTCTTATCACAATTGTCAATTAAAGGATAAATACGCAAATTTAGCTGGAGATAAATTTTGCTTGCAAAACGAAGGTGAAGCGATCCTATGTCGCGGTGATAGAGGCGGAGGTTATGTGATTCAGAATCCAGTAACGAAACGTTACGAGCTATTAGGCGTAATTAGTCTTACTCCTTTCCTTAACCACGAATGTGCTCGAGAGGAAGTTGTAACAGCAACGAATGTCAAATACATGAGCAACGAAATAAGAGAGAAATTGGAGCAGTTCAAGCAAGAAGATAAAGCCTTGTTTTAGAATAAGAAGTAAAAAAAAAATTTTTTTTTTTTAATTTTTATGTTTTTCTTATTATTTTTGTAGACAGAGCGAAAAGAATAAGAGAAACACTTTCATTATTATTATTATTATTATTACAATTACTGACATTACTCTTTTATTAGATCCTTTATTTATAATCTATCCAAAAATATAATAAGTAAATATAAGAGTGAGCTTAGGGAAATAGCAATGGGAAGAATATACCAATGAAGATGTACGATGTTTGCATAAATAAACTTAAAACATTCATTAAAATAATTTAAGAAATAAAAATAAATTCATTTTTAAATGAAAGATCGAATATATGAAGCCGGTCCAAGCATTTTATCTCACTAGATTAATTCAAGGACTTATATGATTGCTCACCCTGCTCAAATATTTTCAGAAATATGCTGGCTTTTATATAAGATTTAACATATGGAGAATCTAAGTGATCGTAATTAATAGGCGCTAGCAAATTTTTCATTTAGTATTATTGGGCTGGGGACGCTAATCATAGAGCGCGCAAAACTGCATTTTCGAAATTGATTATTTTTTTTTTGTTTAACTTGAAGAAATCTTCTGCCGAAGCCCATGAAACACTGTTATCGGCTTAAGCTAATCGTGCCTTCCTGGTTTCAACGGTTTAGAGGCGGTGATTTTGAGCACAACGACATAGAACCGTCTTGACGACCAAAAAAGTTCGAAGACAAGGAATCGCCAAACTTTTGTGACAAAAACCCAGCTCGAACTCTCGAAGAACTTCTGAACAGCTGAGCAGTTGATGAATCCTCCTCTCGACTTCAAAATTTTACTAAAACATTGGAAGTCCTTGCATGCAGGTTGGTATGGAAAATGGTCGAAATCATTCGAGAAGCACGCCTATAGTACCATTTAGACTCGGAAAACTTTTCTTTTTCAAGAAGAATAAAAAATTTCGTTTTTCATTCATTACTCATAAACTGTAGGAAATAAATCTACGAAAACTTGAGCACATATTTTATGGGTGATGCTGCAGTCCACGTACAAAAATGAGAAAACTGAGCTCGCTTAGCCTATATTACACGCTTAGAAGCAAGCCTCAAAAAGCCTCAAATTCTTGGCTTCAAATTCGGAATGCACCTAAGCAGATCGTCCTGTTCGTCTGTCAATCTCTCCATCTACCAAACTATGTACTGTCTACGGTAAACATTACCCCCTCTCAAACTTTAACAAATCACCCTCAGATTTCCAAAAAAATTTCAAAATAACTCAAACGGTGTAAATGATACGTCTACAACGCTTACGCGCCTACGCAACGAAAACTGTAAATATTTTTATTCGTCGCGTTTTTTGGCTACCTGATAGCACATACACCATCTAAATCTGAAATCTGTGGAAATCGGCCATGTCCACCCACTGTTATAGAGTGTGGAAATTTAGTTTAGCACTATTTGCTTTTATCACTGATTCTCTTAAAAGTTTGCCTAGTATATGAAAAGCCCACGTTGCCGTAAATCATGCTTCGCAAAGAATTATCAAGAATTCTTTGGAATTGGACAACCGCTTCAAGAAGTACTTAAGCGAATAGACTATCGGGCCGGCCTACCCGGGTTTAATTCACGCTGGGGTGGGGCCTTACTATAAATATGATTGGTGTGTGGTCGCAGGAATAGTGAGTACTCGATTGGTAAAGACATAACACGTGCTCATCGGGTATATAAGCCCCAGGCTGCGTTTATCCCCTAACGCTGTTCTGTTCCACTACTTTGTAATCCTCATCATAATCGTAAGCTACAGGCGGTATTTTTTGAAATTGTTTTAGTGCCTGCTGCATTGTACGCGAGTCTGTGAACAGATCATGCCCATTTTTGATCTCGTATTAATAAGGGATCAGTGTAGTGTTTGCGCCAAATTTCCACTTACTATTTTCATATTGAGTGTTAAAACATTTCTAATGTTTTTTCTTTTAATAATACTGCAAATTACACTTAGGTCTATCTTAATATCTAAATAAGATGCGTATTTATCGTAATTTTTTTTTTCTTTTGTAGCAAAAAATGATCTTTTAAATGTCTGACACTGAGCCAGGACGTAATGTACTTCTAAAAAAGTACTTATAAAGGTAAGAAGTGAGAAGTGAAGAGGTGAGAGGGGCCACCCAATAAATCCAATGACTTTCAAAATCCATATGCCATAAAGCGGGTGCTAATGATCTAGCCGGGTTCATGCTGGCACCAGAAAATGAGCCCTGTGGACAAATAAAAACCGGGAGAAAATATTAAAGGCGGAAGAAAAAAAATTTTTTTTTTTTTGCTATAACCGCACAAATTACTTACAGCTATGCCCACTAAGCCGCCAACCGTAAGACCTAAACGTAAGGCAACCGAATCAATCAGAGTGGCACTACGTGGGTCCCAAATGCCGCAACAAACCATCACAAATACCGATGTTATTATGAATTCAATACCGAAAGCTTGAGCAACCGTTATATCTTTGGCTGGCGCAGTTACACAAAAGCCATGATCATTGTATGCCTCGTCCATTATATAGGCTGGTAACAGAACCTTTAATAAACCATAGCCAAGCATTGCGCCTAAGATTTGCGCACAAACATAAACTAAACCCAAAGGTATAGACACCAAATCGTACACACATGCGGCCACAGTTATCATTGGATTGATGTGAGCGCCCGAAATACAACCGAAGCACTGAACCATCATCATTACCACTATGCTAACATTGATGCTGGCCTGCAAAGGCGAGGTGATTGAATTCACCGTCGAGCTACAACCCATGCAGCCGAGAAATACCAGCAGACCGGTACCAAGAATTTCGGCGAAAAAACACTTGACGGCATGACGTACGGAAGAATGCATTTTCTATATGTGCATTAACAAATTTTATTCTTTCACTTTTACCGTTTCCCATTTAAATGAGAACAGAGTGCTCGGGAGAAGTATGTGCTAGTCAAGCGAGTTCCTAATCAATGGCTGTTATGCAATATTTTACAATTCTTTTTTTTTTTCCCCATATACACTTAAAAAGGGATTTAAGAACTCTTCAAAAGCGATTTGCAATTTTTAAAAATTTTTGATAACAACTTGGACGTATGCAATCTTTCGCTTTCACTTCACTAAACTATTATAGACTGAAATGCAAAATTGCTTTTTTTTCAAGCAGAAGTTGATCTAGTTTTCAAAGTTGTTAAATAAAAGCAAACAATCTTACGATGATGATGTCGCTCTTATTATACACTACCTGATAGCGCTAACTGTTGTCAATAGTTTTATATACGCGTAATAGAACATCAAAATAATAATAATAATAATACAGTGAAATTTTTTTATTATTATTACACAATAGCTGCTGTTAGGCACGAGGCCTGCCACGCACAACACCGCAGTGCTGGCGAACTGTTCACATAAAGGCCTTTTAATGCATTTTAAAATTTACATTAAGTTCAACTTACCTGCTGAAGGCATTTTCTCACTCAAAGGTAAGATGCTTTGGCAAATTTTGATGCACAGAGATCAAGCCCGCTCATCCTCACCGACTTGATAGCTCTGAATGCAAAGCTAATTAAATTTAGAATATAGATGCCCTCACTGCAAATCCCAGATGGGATTTACATGAAAGTTCCATTTCTTTGAAAACTCTCGGTTGATATCCGTTTGAGTGGCCGAGTAGGGATCAAATCTCAAGTAAGTTACAGTTTTCTTTGGTCGTAGCTATAGTGAGTGCACACGCTAAAGTCGGTAAATGCACGACAATTAACGCTTGGGTACAAACCCGCTAGCAGCTATTACTTCCCTCTTTCCGTTTCTTGCTCCTCTTCTTTAAGACGATCACCGTATTACGCGAATAGAGGTCATACCTTGAGTTCGAGTGAAATGCAGCTCAGTACTTTCGGCACTTGCTTGTAATTTAATATATCCTTTTTTTAACAGCCAGCCTATACCCTACCGTCGTAAGACTAACAATTTGTGCTACCTGGCCTCATATACATTCCGTTTGCATGGTGCTTGACAAGTTTGACGTAGTGAAGAGAAAAAGTTAAATTTCTTAGAAAAGTTTTAGAGGACGGCAGAGAATTATCATCACCCAGGGTTTCGGAAGGCTTTTGAAATCAGCTTTTGCTTTCTTTAATCCACCAAAGCGAGTTTACAAAAAATTTTTAAAATTTTCATCTTCATTGAGTTATACTCAGTTCCATACTACGAATGAAAATGTTTTGTAGCAACCGATTTTCTATCGATCAAATGGAATTTTATATACATTGCTTGTGAATACAAATAACGAGAAAATCTTGATAAAAAGAACCATTAATAATATATTTTCTTCTCTACTCATTGGCCTCCTGCTGGCCCTTAGTTTCGAAAGATTTGTCCTTTAAAACATATCTCTACAATACAGCAGTAACTACTCCACCTAAGATAACTGTGAACCAATATAACCAATGATCCGTAAAATCAAGATTCCATGTTCCGGGGCCCCACGATCGAGTCGCATTCACACTACATCCAGTGTGAGGTCCCAAAATTATGGAAATCTCATAACTCCACGTGGCATATATGTAATATATTATAAAATTCATCAGGTAACTTGCTAAGCTGCCGACCACTAAACCGAAACGAATTAAAACTGAATCGAAATGATTAGAGTTACGTTCATCCCATACTGCAGAGCACAGTAATACCAGGCTATATGTTGCAAAAACTCTAAAACATTGCTTGCAAAACGTATAGTTCTGGATGTATTCTGGTCATGCTTCGTGTTTGGATCAATCCTTAAACACCCGGTACAATTTTAAGCAAAGTGCGGTAACCGCGCATTACTGAATAAGTAATAAAGCCGCACTACCAAAATGAAAGCATAATGCGAAACGATCGTTAGCTATATATTCAGATTTAATGCAACCCATGCAACCAAAAAAGACCAAAAGGTAACTGACAATAACTTCAGACATAAAGGGCGGCAAAATGCTCCACCCTTCCTCTCGGGAAAACCAACGAAATTGCATAATTATTTCTTTCCAAAATAATTTCCAATTAGCTTTCGAAGCCTTTTAAGCAAAAATCAATGAGAATATTTTAGATTATTTTTCCTTAAAGTCAGGAGAACGTTTTTAATAAAAAGACAACCGGACGGACGGACAGATGGACTTGCTTAAATCGACTTACAATTTGATGCTAATTAAGAACATATATATACCTATTTGAAATTTTCTCAAGTTTCCTTCTAAAGGTTGCAAACGTTTTGACAAATGAATATAGAGTCAGCCTTTAGTGATGGGTTTTGAAAGAAAATTTTTTCTTTCAATTTCTTTAAATTTTGCTACTGTAGCAACCATACAAAGAAAAGAGGAGCTTTTCTCGATTTATGGAGAACGTACGGGCTATCTTAAAAATTACCGAGTGTGGGTATACAGGGGTCATTGTTTTTATATATAACGAAATACATATAATGAAAAATCGTCAAAAATTTGTCTACAAATATGTTCTTAAAGTTCGAAATATAAAATATATTCTTAGGACAATGTCTGCAGAAGAAGTACTAACTGGCAAACAACTAAAGTAACCTTGACATATTTTTGTTACAAGGTTAGAACTTTAAATTAGGTATATGTAGAGTAACAGTCTCCAGTTTAGATCTGAACTTGATAGTAGATAGTAGTTTTTCGAAACGAATCGTTTCCTTTGAGAAAGTTTTCCTTACGTCGTAAACTGTATGCGCTGAGCATTTGCAGAGACGTTTATCTAATTAATTCTTATGTCTACAATATTCAAGATAGCAATAAGATGGGGAGCTAGCTATGGCGAAGAAGATTTTAAATTTATACACACACGGAAACTTGTATGCGATAAACTAAAATTTTAATATCGTTAAAAGAGAATATGTAACGCAGACGAAAGTTAGGGCGACACACTTTTCAAATTTCAGAAAATTCAAATCACAACGACACATTTAAAGCACTCAAGCCAATTATCTACAAATTGCGAATACGCGCATAACCAGATAACTGGGAGAATGAGTAAAATGTATTTCGTAATAAAATTTATGTAAATTATCTTAAAGCATAGGCAAAGAGTACTGTTACCCATACGCATATACTGGCAGTTATCTCTTTAAATTGCTTGGAAATGGAGTGACGGCGAAGAAAAATTGTATTGAATCATGACTTTCGAGCATCTTTCCTTTATTGCGTTTTTCGCTTAGCATCTTGTTGTTGTTACTGGTATTCATTTTTTGGGGCAACGGTATGGAAGAAGAATCTTTAGCAAATAGCTCGCCTACCCCCTGGCAATGAAAACTTAAATTGTTTGCCATTAGCTTCAAATATATGAATTGTTTTTGTAAGAAACAACCTACCGTAACATATAAATATTTGTTGAATCACTTGAATGCGGAGAGAACAGGAAAGCGTCATAAAATTCGTTCATGAAGTGATTTAAATGTCTGCTATAATCGAAGCAAATGAATTCAATTAAGGCAAGCAAAAAAACTTGCATCATAAATGCCTCAAAATGAGTCTCGCTACAGTCGCTTTATATTAATTAGGTGCAGAAAAACAAAAAAAAAAAATGCCTTTAAGCAGCAATTTGTTAACGAAGGGCGTGTCATTGACTATCAAATCCTTAGGAAGCTTTAAAATTGATGAATTGATAACAATGCTGGGCCACAAGTCATACCTGCTTGCGGTCGTTGTAAGGATGTGTTGTTCAGCGTATTTTGCAGCCCTCAAGCTTAATTCGATGAATTGATGAATGAATGGCGGGAAATGTATGATTCAATTTTCAATCAATCGATGAATTTTTTCAACTTTTTTCTTCCTTCGCTTGTATGCTTGTAGGTCAAGCGGACATCGCTACTCTCTTTCCGAATCTTCTTTTAATTTAAATATAATTTTCTCGGGATTACAAAAGCAATGACAGATTTAGTATGCCTTCTAAATAGCTGAGTTTTGGCTATAAGAATTAACAAAAAAATGTAACAAATATTTATTTTTGTTGATTTAAAAAAAAAAACTAAATAAATAAAAAGAAAAAAAAAGACAAACGTTTTCGTCGAGATAATGACACCACACCTCTTAATGTATTTGCATAAAACCTTTGAATTTGTTTTGTTTTATTGTCGCTCCTTAAGATAAAGTAATTAAGTTGGCATTAAGTTATGGCAAAAAGGGGCGTTTTGCCTTAGCTGAGGTTAAGATTTTTTTTCTACCTTCTTTTTACATTTTCGTTTTAATTTTTTGTTGTTGTTTTTCTTCTGTTTTTTTTTTATATTTTATTATAAAATCACCACAATTTCCGTTGACGGTTGATTATGATGAATCATTGGTTATTTATAAGCGTACAAGACAGTAGCGCAAATACTTCTAGACACTCATGTGCCAATAAAGAAGCAATTGATGGACATTTCAACAGGTCATGCAAGCACAATAAACAAATGATTTCGCGATAGAAATATGAATCGGCGCGTCCATGATTGGAGTAGAAGATGAAGAATTTGTAAATGATATCACCGGAAAAGGAGTAGTATTATCCATATTACCACCAACTAACTTCATAAGGTACACGCCACAGTCAAAGTTTACAAGAAATAGTACTTAGATGGGGTTATGTCGTCCAAAACCCGATCAGCGACTGCGGAAATGAAGAAAGCGAAGATGAAGGATTTATCACAAAGTAGGCGTACTGAGGTACTTTTCTACATGATTCCGCCTGCTAACTGGATCTATAAGAATCAAGCATTAATGGCATGGCATAGGCAGATGCACCGATATTCTACGAATTAAGACATCATTTATTAGGACGACCGGGAAAATGTGAAACACTTGCAGTAATACTCATGAGAGACGCCATGAACGCATTATACATCTCTGTCTTCCCAGCAAATATGTTTTTCCCGCTTTCCCTTGTATTTGATTATCTTGGTTTGTTTCTTGCCAGGTAACGCAAAGATATGGTATCCAGCATGTTTTTGTCGAGATACGAGTAAATAGGTAGACCAAAAAGCCATGTAGGGTAAAAGGGAATACTTAGTTTCTCAGCAATCGTCTCTAATAGTTCGCCTCTCACGAAACTCATATCTTTATTGAGAATATTTGCCATAGATCAAATGTGCTTTTGTTCGGGAGAAAAGAGAGATATATTTACACTGGCCGAACTTG